CCAGAAATTAAAGTGTCTATTTCAAATTCCTACAGCCTATCTAAATTTTCACAAGTCTCTTATTTTCCTCTTTTGTTTGCTAGAATAATTTAAAACAAAACACAAACAAACAAAAGCCCAGGGGTCCGGGGATCTAATTATAAAAATTCATTTAGGGATGAAGAGGATTTACATTGAGAATGCTTATTTTGTCCTTACTGTGTTTAATTTTAGAAAGAATAAATGCTGCCAACTTTCCTTTACTCACATAGCTTTTTTGCATGGTGACTCAAGTTTAATTATCAAATTAAACATTACATTATTTTTAAAAGGATTATTTAAGTTCTTCAAATAGGGAATTCATGGAAAACCAAAACCATGCCAAAATCACTTTGTCCCAACTTAAAAGTTTCAAACTGATGCAAAGAGTTTTCAAATTTGCTTGACAGCCAAAGAAACAAAGTTCTTATATTTCAAGATGAAGTAAATGTTAAACACTGAACTACTGTATTTGTACTGGAGACTGTAGTATTTAATTTCCATGTTGGTGGGACAGAATGGACTCATACATACCATGCTATACAAGTTTTAAAAAACAAAACTTACATTGCTGCTCCCAAAATAATTGCCATTGCTGACCTGAAAATTATTCCATTTAGCTCGTGCCATGATACAAATTAATGAGATCTGGTTTCCTATGGAACTGAATTTTGTGATGGCAGACTACCTAAGTGTTTACATCACTAGCCACCATACCCTCCTAATTTCTAACATTAGATACACTGTATGTGTAAAAATACACTAGGGAGGATCAGATCTCTGTGTTACAGTATTCTAAGGCTTCCCTTTGGGGAGCAAAAACAATAGGCCAATCCACTTTCTTTCTGTCAGTAAATATACTTAAGTACTGCTCTTCCAACATTTTTATCCTGATGTTCAAGTCACATGGGATTTCAAAATGCAGGACAGCAACTAAGAGGAATTTGCCATCTGGCAAACTCAAAAATATTCCAAATAAAGACTGCTTTCTGGCCAGGAGACACTTCTACCAAGCTACAGCAGTTTAGATCAAGCCAACTTTCCCTGTATTATAAAACTACAGGGACTTCCCTGGTGGTGCAGTGGTTAAGAATCCACCTGCCAAGGCAGGGGACACGGTTCTATCCCTGGTGTGGGAAGATCCCACATGCCACGGAGCAACTAAGCCCATGTGCCACAACTACTGAAGTCCACGTGCCTAGAGCCCGTGCTCTGCAACCAGAGAAGCCACAGCAATGAGAAGCCCGCGCACCGCAACCAAGAGTAGCCCCCAATCACGGCAACTAGAGAAAGCCCACGGGCAGCAACGAAGACCCAACTCAGCCATAAATAAATAAATAAAACTTCAGAGAATGACAACTACTAACACAGAACACTCTGTCAGCACTTATTATTAGACAAAGTAATCCTTAGTCACTCTTCTAACACTGAGGCTTATTTAACCTACTCCACTAGCAAAGGAGACAAAAGAATCTCAAAATGAGGGTACACCATAAGCAATGTAATTCATATTTAGAATGCTTACTATAAAGAGCAACTTGAAGTAAACTTCTGGTTGTCTAGGCATCTAAAAAACACATGAAGTTAAAAGTTTTTAAAAAAACCTAAATATACATTTATCTTTCCACAGCACAAGAACAAAATCTCATCACATGTGCATTTACCCTGAATTCATCTATATCCACTGGAAGAAAAAAAGAGAGAACGTAAATACTGGTTCCCTTAGCTGATTCTCAGCTCCCAAATTCATGTGTGCCTCTCAGAGTGTAAACACTTCCCTCACTATGTGTGATTCTAGTATTAGTTATATTTTTTTACACATTGTGATTCCTAAATGCAAACGAACTACTTCATCTGGGACTCAAAGGAAGAAAAACAGCATCTGTTTCAAAGCTGGAGGAAAATCTGGCCATGCCGGAATTTTGCTGCACTGGTATACCTACATCCAACATGATGCCTCCCTAAAAGTTTTTCGAGGATAGCTTTGATTACACACTATTTTACGCTCTGGGCTAACTCTGGAACCTAACCCACACTAAATCATACTCCTTCCCACCCCCACCCCCACCCTCCAGGCTTTATGTATCTCCTCTCTTAAGGCCAAATTTAAAAAAGAAAAAAAAAGGTTTTACATTACACCAATCATACAAGGCCCACTAACTCATTCAGCTGTATTTTTGAAGTAAATCTTTACAGGGAACCTATTATGTGCAAGGCACAGTGCTAGGCAGTAAACTGGCACACTTTTTAGCAAGTGAGGAACTTGCATTCAATAAAAGAGATAAGGTTGGTACATGAGCAATTTAAGGAAGTGTAGAATGAGGTTAAATGCTCTCAGAGAATAGAAGTTAGATAAGGAAGACTAGAAAAAAAGCACAGGGGAAGTTTAATTTTGCAGCTATGACACTGCACAGTGAAAAGTGGTGTAAGTTTTAGATATATTAAGAAAAATAATCTTTAACTCAAGTTTGCCTGAAATGACATATTTCACTCTAAAATCAAAATCAAAGGTGGCCTTCATTTCCAGAAATAGTGGGCTAGGTAATTGAGACCAATCCCCTACCTCTATGATTAGTAAAACTGGAAGAATTTTTTTAAATAACTTTTAAACAAATAGAAAAGTTAACAAGATGGTAAAGAACTTGGCCAAAAACCCAAGACAAGGTGAAAACCAGATTAAGTCCAATATTCAAACTGGTTTTCATCCCAAGGATTTCTCTGATCTTGAAAGCTACTGTTTTGGTGCCCTTGCGAAGCAAAACTCAAAAGCAGGGAGCCCACCCAGGGTGTGCGGAGTCTGATAACCAACCACCTCTTTCTCCATCTTAATCTGGTACCCCAAAGAACTACACCATGAAGGTAAAGGTGAACTGGTAAGAAAAAAAGCAAGAATAATGGGTAACAGAAACAGACTCAAAGGAAATTCACATTCCCAAAGGAATTAACACATAGATTACAAAACAACTATGCTTACCATGTTTAAAGAAATAAAAACCAAGCCTCAAAATTAATAGCAGAGAATAAGAAACTGTAAGACAGTAGCATGGCACATTTGAAAAGAAAAAAAAATAGAACTTTAACTAAAACATGCAATAACTGAATTTAAGATTGCAACAGATGAGTTTAGTAACAGGTTAGAAGTAACCTATGAAAGAATTAATAAAGAAGAAATTATCCAGAATATAGTATAGAAAAATAAAGAGTAAGAGGCAGAAAGAAGAGAGTGAAAAGGTCTATGTTAAATCAATAAAGGAAGATAAACAACGGGGCAGAAGCAATACATGAATATAAAATGGCTGAGAATTTTACAGAACTAATGAAAGACACCAATCCACAAATTAATAAGTGTAATAAACACCAAACTGAACAGAAACAAGTCCATAGTTGCATACATCATAATGAAAATGCAGAAAACCACAGACAAGGACAAAATAATCTGTAAAACACATCCTACAGTAAAAAGTGACACAGATCATATTTGAGAATTAAGACAAAGCATATACAAAAGGTGATCAACAGTGAGCACACTGAAATTGTTTAATTTAGCTGCCACGAAGACATAATTACACACAACTGAGTCTATGGCTGAACCATGCACTTAAATTACTTCATTTACCAGATACGTGGTTTTCAATTTCTGAAGCAGCAGCTTGATTCTAACCAAAACAGCAAGATTCTTAGAAGCTAAACACTGTTAACCAGGTAAATAGTATTGACATAATTCTTCCTTTCTTACAACCACGAAGAATTTCTCACCTGAGGCACCAAGACCTCAGGTGAGAAAGATAATTGGGTAGCCTCTGCTTTCAGACCCTTACAAATTGTTAACCTCGAGCTCTATTTGAAAGACTACAAGCTGACTTTACCTCAGCTCAATTGCTTGTTATCAAAAAGGAGCCTGCACACTAATTCCTCTCAAGTGTTTCAAAAGCAGTGCCTTCCAAACCATTTAACGGGGTCCTTGTTAACAAAGCAATAAGGCAAACAACTGAATGAATTATCAACAAATCTTACCCAACAGCGGGTACACAATAGGTCATTGGGAATTCTGACCACCAGACCCGCACTTGGCTTCCTGGGTCCCACCCAACACCCCAGTCCGACTATCTGGGGTGGGGTCCAAGAATATGCATTTTAATAGGGCCGCAGAAGCTCTTGTTTTCTACTAGTTTAAGAACCAGTGCTCTGAACGAATAGGTCTCCCCCTTTCCCGCCATGCGCACTGACATTCACCTGGGCCAGCAACTCTCAAACAAGACGCTTCAACCCGCGCGGTCTTAGTTTCCTAAGTTTTCTGCAAAACGAGCACACCTGTTTGTTTTCCACTAGAAGAAAATGCACTGAGCACATCTACTGGTACATGGTACATAATAAATGTTTCTCCTCCTGCACTAATTCTGTGACTCAATCATTTCCAACCAGGCACCCCCCACATCTCCCGAGTAGCCTAGAGCCGTTCCAAGACCTCTGGGATACAGCCCGCTCCTCACCTGGAGCCTGGGTGGCCCCACCTGACAGAAAAGGTAGAGCGGAGCCGACTAAAGGCCCAAAGTCTCAGGACCCCTTGAAAGGGTCGGCATCCTCCTCCACAGGACCTGAAGGCATTCCCGCGGGCTCCCTCGGCTTCCCTCAGGCTGGGCCCCGCAAGCCCCAGTCCCCGGTGACTCAGAACACTGGACGAGAGAGCGGACTGAGGGCAGACTTGGCCCTAAACCTCCCATCAAACGCAGCCCCTCACCTCCGGAGCGAGGAAGCCGGAGCCCAGGTCTCGCTGCCTGGCCAGGGCCCAGGCCGCACTCACCTACCAGCGTGCGGGAGGCGAGACCCCCTCACCTCGGCGGCGCCCACCCCAAACCGCCACCGCAAGGGCCACTCGCTCTTCAGGAAAAAGAAACAGAAAGAAAGTAAAAACAGAAAGAAAGCAAGAAAATAGCCTTTGCTTTTATGTTTCTTTCGACCCTTCCGAGCTTCCTTTTCCTCACCGCCACAACAGAGCTCCGCCCCCTTCCGGCAGCGTAACCCAATCCGCACCTCTCTTCCTACCCAGGAGACAGATGGAAATCCGGTCCTTAGAAAGCTAGAGGGAGAGATTTGATTGGGCCATTCACACTTCAGCAAGGGGATTGGCCAGCTCCCTCCAGGGGGGCGGGCCGAGCGGCGATGTCACGTGATGTGGTCTCTGAAAGATGATTGGCTTTCAGGAAGAGGGATTGCCACCGAGGAAGGGGCGTTTCCTAGGGGACTGAGGGAGGGCCTGGGCGGTACGAAGCGGGGGTGGGCCCAGCACGTAATGGCAGCGCTGTGGCCTCGCGTCCATCTTTACCGCTCTGTCGGACCTGTCACAAAGGAGTTGCGCCGTCGCCGCCGCCGCCTCCTGCCTCGGGTGGGCCCGGGAGCTGGAGAAAGTCAGTGCCGCAGCCCAGTCACGCTGCTCCGGGAAGCCCCTGGGGACGCGGAGCGGGGGGAATCCCAGGGCTGGGGACGTCCGTGAGGGAGGGGAACAGCCGCTCGAGTCTGCGGCGGAGAGACTGGACTGGGGCCGGGGGAGGTTCCGAGAATGGGCCTGGGAGGGGGTGGCATTGGGCAGAGCCCAGGAAACAGCCCGGAGGTCCTCTAGCGAGGCCCGTGCTGAAGACGCCCGGAGAGGTTTCTGGAAGAGGGTGTTCCCCCTTTAGGGGGTTCTTGACCGAGGAGGTTGTTGGGGATCGCCTTTCTGAGGAGGCCGCGGCTAAAGGGGCCCAGGTGAGAAGCAGGTAGCTCCTGGGAGGCTGCTGATATTTAGGAGTGCTCCTCAGGGGTGCCCAGGGTGGAGGAGGTAGGTGGGAGGACGCTTGGAGAGGGTTTCCTTTTGTGGAGTTTGAGGTTTAGGTGGCACGAGTGGGAGGTAGACCATAGCCGGGGAAGCTTAGACGTGCCTTAGGGTCAAGAGACGCCTCAAAGAGAGAGGCTAGGAGTTGGGAGCCAGAACTAGCGGGTTCTGCCTCGGAGGCCCCATGTGACAAATGGGTAAGGGCCTGGAGAGAGGGGATTTGCTGCGCGGTTCCGGGAAGAAAAGACCCCCATCCATAGGAAAGCCTGGGTGGGGAATAGTGAGAGGGAAGCGGGAATGGCAAGCGTTTTCCTCTCAAACACAGGATTCAGCCGCTTCTGGGCATAGTGCAGGTGGAGTTGGGGAAGTCCGTCCCACCAACACGCCCTGCGTGACTCTAGATCAGGTTTTTGTTCTACCTGCTACCTCAGTTTCCCTGTCTTTGGGGGCGGAGGTAGAGGCAGAAATGGTCCACTGAGACTCTGGCGTTCTATCCTGTATAGCTGTCTGAATGAGGTTGCTCCCCCTGGAGTGTTGTACTTTGAACTTCTAAAGGTTAGAAGTGTCTATTTAACTGACTGAATAGAGTCCCTTGGTTGTCCAGGCCCCTTACCTACCATCTCCTCCTCCTTAACCTCCTTGGGTCTCTTCTGTAAAATAACACAGTGTGTGAAAGTACTTTACAGACTACAAGCTGTGTGGAAGTAAAGTATTGTGATTCTACCATCAAAGGGGTTGCTGTTGAGAAATGAAAGTGAAGGCACTTTCTAAACTGTAAAGCAGTATGTAGATGTAAGGGATTAGCATTTAATACACTTGTTGATCACCTATGGAGTGCTGGAAGCCATATTGTACTGAAAGCTTCAAGGTTTACAGCTTTGTAGGTCATATAATTTTAAACCTATGATTTCAACCCCTGCTTAGATGGGGGTAGAGGGATTTCCAGTTTTGCTCCCAGAGTTTTAATTTACTTTGAACTTCTGATGGTACTGGCAGAAGATAGCCCTATGATATAATCTTTTCCTTCGGGAATTTTTTTTTCTGACAGCTGAAATTTTCTTGTAGGTAATTTGATCTCAATATTGTAAGCTACCTCCCCTTTTCCCATATATATGTATTTGTGGCCTTTGGATGTCTACAAGTAGTGAATATCATGTTTCCTCCCTCAGTTGTGATTTTATAAATGAGACCTCCTCTTTTTTCCATGAATACTATGCCTTCCTGTAGTAGCCCCAAACTATAGATTATGAGGCACATTATCTATTGCTTTTATATTTCTCTTCCAGTGTTTTTTTCTACTTTTCACCATATATAGTTTGCATTTCCTGGGGTGACATCTTGCCTTGTAGCTCCCTCTGTGAGGTTATACGTACTGTGCCCATGTCTGACATTTTCCTAATTTTTGGTTAGTTGCATTTGTTAGAGCTGGTTTAACAAATATTTAGTAATTTGTGATTTTTGAAGTTTTTTTTTAAAAAACAAAAAGCTGACTTGAACTTCCTGTTTTTCTAATCTTATGTTCCATGAGTCTTTTTTGAAAAAATCACTGTGGTGATTTTGTGAGCTTTCTGGTTCCCAGGGTACATGTCATCCAGACCTACTGCTTAAGGTCTGTGTCGTGCTTTTGCTGTTTTCATTATTTCTGTACTCCATGATTATTTTTACATTATTGACTATAGGAAGTGTTCCAGCATACTCTATGTGGACTTTTTCTGCTTTGTCAGCAAAATAACTTTCCAGTTAGTAAATTGGCCAAGAATCAAGAGAAAATAAAAACTTAGCATTTTATGTAGTAGTATGTTATTCTGTAGTGAATAGGGGAAAACAACAACTTTGAAGTATGTTTTGGCAAGAGTATAATAAAAAAAAGCATTGTGTGTTCCTAAAGTGAATTTATTACAGTCTGTTTCAACTCATGAGCTTAATTCAGTCTATCAAGAATTGCCTATGCTTTTCCTGATAATGAAGTAATTTGTTATAATGAAATGAGAAGTAATTTTGCATTCTTTAAAATACAACTGTCTTGGACAATCTAGTACCCATATAGTTTGAAAATTATTAGGAATTCTTGAGATGGTAATCACTATCACGCTACTTTTTTTTTTAATTAATATTTTTTTTGGCTGTGTTGGGTCTTCGTTGCTGCGTGCAGTCTTTTCTCTCTTAATTGCGGCAAGCGGGGCCTACTCTTCGTTGCAGTGTGTGGGCTTCTCATTGAGGTGGCTTCTCTTGCTGTGGAGCACAGGCTCTAGGCACACGGGCTTCAGTAGTTGTGGCACGCGGGCTCTAGAGCACAGGTTCAGTAGTTGTGGCACGCAGGCTTAGTTGCTTCGCAGCATGTGGGATCTTCCCGGACCAGGGATCAAACCTGTGTCCCCTGCATCCGCAGGCAGATTCTTAACCACTGCACCACCAGGGAAGTCTCACTATTACGCTACTTTAATTGGAAATTTTCTGTTTTGTGGTGGGATTCTTGTAAAGTAGGATGTGACTGTCACAGGGTTGCAAAAGTAAGTGAAAAGTCATTAGGCATCACAGACAGGAACCACAGTAGAACAACGGTAATCTATTTCAAAAGAGTTATGGCCGGGGAAGGGTGGGTAGTAAAGTATCTATTTAGCTTCTTTTCAAATATTTGGGCATTTTTCAAGGCATTTACCATTGAATTTGGATAGTTTTTTCCTGGTATGCAAGTTAGAAAATTGAAGAACAGAACAGTTATGAAGTAGTAAATGCCATAACTTGGGCCACCAGCTTAGGAGGAGACTTTCACAACTTTTAGGAATGCAAAAAAGTGAATATGTGCCCTTTGGTTTATCTGTTAAATAAGTTGGCTTTTGATATAGTTTCCTTGCCAACCTTTATGATTAGAAAAAAAGTACCTATTTGTTATATTTTACTGTCAGTGTCCATTCCAAAAGGGAATGCTTGCTAGTTCAGTATGTAAAAGCATGTTTAACTGTAGATAACTATGATATATATAAGGCTAAATGAGATAGTTATCTAATAAATAGTGATAAGCTCTTAGAGAATATTCCCCTTTCTTCGTCTCTAAGCTTTTGAAAACTAAGAATACATTTGAGACAGCAAAGGATTGATGCACTCCTTAAGTTTGTTAAGGAATGAACCCTGTATGTAGCTTTCTTATTGCTTGAAATTATAGTTTCCAAGCATAATTTCATGTGTGTATATATACATCAAGTAGAAGGTTTTGAAATACCTTACTTGGCAGGTTTATTATTACCTCAGCTTAATGTTTCAGTGTTAGTTTTTTTTTCTTACCCCTTCTACCTCCTGAAGAATTAAGTTTCCTCTTCTGTGCTCCTTTAATGCAATGATTCTCAAAGTATGGCTCCTACCTGGCCCCTCTCCTTTTTTTCAATTCTTATTACTTCATAGTTGTTCATACCTACCTATGCCTAAAGGCTACTTATTAATAACCTGCCAAGTAAATTATTAAGGATTACTAAAACATAATATTCATAAACTAAAACTAGCACAACATTAGAGTTTACTGTTATCTCTAATACCTTTTTCTCCCAGGAAGTACTGTCATGGGAAACTTGGCACCAGTGCAAAGCTTCTTACATGTCATATGCAGAAGGGGGATTCCTACAATATTCAGGAAGGGATGATGCTTATTTGCGATGCATCATCAGTATTGTCTCAAATTGATCTCAGTTTTTCATCGTGTTTCCTCTTTATTTTTCATTAGGGTTACTGTTAGCTTCATCTTTATCAATTTAATTTATGGACTTTCAGTTAACCTTTCACTGTGTGGTCAGGGATATTTGTACCAACAATATTTTGGCTTATTTAAGATGTGAATGTGTTGCAGTGCAAATATAAATCCCTCATTCCTCTTTTGCTAATGCTGATTTATACAGTCACCTAAAAACTTGCTCCTATGGAGATACTTGAATGTTACTAAGTTCCTTTTCCACTGGAAGAATGGTGGAGCAAGAGGCCTCCTCCTCCTAGTGAACCTGACACTATATGCATGGGCTTCTATGGCAGGTGCTATGTTATGGGTTGGGCACTCTGTGTTGTCTGTCCTTCATCCCTTTAAGAAGAGCATGAGGGACCTTTTTTCATCTTTGCTCTGTGCCTGGCATATAAGCATTAGATTCATATTTATTGAGTGATGTTGTCTCAACTTCTCAAAGACATAAATATTTTT